AGGCCCATATGACATAGTGGATCGTCTCTCAGACGTGACTTTCCAAATAAAATGTGGTCGGCGAGGTAAGCCAAAGGTGGTACATGCCATCAGGCTTTGGCGTTATCACGGTCCAGGACATTTCAGTTGGAACAAAGTGATCAACGGAACAAATGATGCTGCTGAAAACGTATCACCTGAAAAAGCAACTGTCAAAGAAGAAACTCTATCCAGTTTTGATAAAGAAAACAGTGAAGCCGTTACTGATGTGACTGTTACCGATAATGGGACATTTCCTGATGGAGCAGATGAACCTCACGTGAAGCAGAAGCCAATGAGACAGAGACCAGTACGGAAGAAAATACGTCCTGTAAAATTAAGAGACTTTGTTGTATTTTAATTTTGTGTTTGTAAATTCTGTACATTTAATTAAGTTATTGTTAATTATCTATTGGTTTAATGTAAGTGGCTATTGTGCGGGACGAACAATACTAAGGAAGGGGCAGTGTTACGACAGCGGAAGTCACGCGACGCTGGGAGCATGCGCGCTGGAGTTTCTCGAAGGATCATGAATTTTCCTAGCAACTCTAGTTTGTTCGAGGCGCCCTATTTTTAGTATATAAGCCTGGCGAGAAAAACCAGCACGATTGAAGAGATATTGAAGATAGGCAGATATAGATAATTGAGTCAAGTGAACAGAAGGCACCATAAATAAAGTGTATGAATCGCTGTGAATTATAGCGTGTGTTTATAAAAGTAGTTAAGTTTAAAGTGGCTGTGGAAATTCTGTGTATTACTAAAAGTTGTATCAAGAAAAAATAAACTAGTTTTAATCAAGACAAGACTTGTATCGCTGAAGTTCTTCGGAAAGAATTTCTACCGGAAATTAACAAACAAGCAGATACATAACAGTATTTTAAGGATGGATCTTCTGTAGTAGGTGTCAGCAAGTTATTTCTGCACAATGGATGAAGTGAAATTCTGTGGGATGACCATCCAGTAATAATCTGGGAACAGTGTACCGCACATAGTATGCTGAGATAGAGGTTGTAATATCTCCAAACATTCATGTGGTGTTTCATGGCCAGGGTATGCTATGGACACAGTTTAGTGTATTGCTACTTTTTGTTGGGTTTAATTGAATTGGCGATTTAGAGTGTGAAGCAGATGCTCGCTAAACTTATCAACTCTGAATGAGCATCTACCATATGTCTGATGGCATACAGTAAACTAAGCAACAATTAAGTGTTTGTTATTTAAATCTCCCGATGTTTGATCACGAGGTCATGTCATGATGGAGCTGACGTGTGGCCTTCCAGCTAGTGTAGATGTCTCACAGTTATAACAGAAATATGTGGAGAGGCTATATTTTTCAATGGGGTCGCAAGGCTACTGTAGGGGGTTCGGGAGATTTTACAAAATATTGAGATAACAGATATTTTGGAGTATGTACAGTAATTTGCTAGTACTTTGTGTAGTGGGGGGGGGGCACAGCCTGAAATGTTTTCAAAGGGAGGCTCAGCGTAAAAGTTTGAGAACCTCTGACATAGGTGGTTTTTGGTAAGTGAAGAAGTGATTCCATATTGCTCTAGTATCTAAAAAGTTTGAACTACACCGAAAGTTGACCAACCAGAATACTTGTAAGTGTTGAACGAAACACCACACACTGCACGTATATGAATACAGATTATATTTATTTTTTACACATGTCTTCGAGTCTTTCCTTTGCTGTTAGTGTTAATTTTATTCTTTTGCAAGTAAATATTTTTCTAATCTACAATATTGCGGTACTTAATACTTACCTGTTGGTTACAGTTGATCTGCGAATTCTAAAAGAATACTCGTTATGTAAATCAGAGAAAGGTGAATATATATATAATTTCAGGTTTAGGACTTTACTCTCTCTCAGCAAGCGACATAGTCCCACGTTATAAGCTTTAAAAAAACACTTTTTGTATATTCCTTACCAAGCACAAAGCTACACAATGTGCTATCTGTGCTGAGCTCAACGCGAATATTGAAAATCAATTTTTAGTGCTATAAACTCTCAGGTTTACAGCTGAACCACCAGAGGCAAATAAATTAAGCTTCGCAATAAGGCAGTTTTGATTTTTTGTTTGTTTTTATTAAGCACAAAGCTACACAATGGGCTATCTGTGCTGTGCCCATCGTGTGTATCGAAACCTGTTTTTTAGCGTCATAAGTTTGCAGACTAACCGCCGAGCCACCGAGGGGGAAGGGGGGGGGCAAAAATAATACAAATGTATTGAGAAGTCATGAACTCAAACCTGGAATAATTCATTACAAAAATAGCAGCAAAAAATATCATAAACGTTTTTAACATTCATTTTTAAATTTAAACTTTATGTGATACAATTTATGCGAAAAGGGTATAATACAAAACTTTTCATTATTTGAGAAAAATTACTATCATGGCTATGCTATTACAAAGAGTATTATATGACATCGAATGTGGATTAACATATGTTATTTTGGGGAAACCAGGTGATGAACATTTGTTTTTTACTGGTAGTACCAACTGGAAAAGATAAAATTTTATTTCGTTTTGATTTTTGTTATTGTTTTTGTTTCTTTCATATGTGTTAAGAGAGGGCACTAATTGTGTAGGCTTAGATGTTTTAAAAACACGGAAGGAAAAGCGAAGGTTGTTGGATGTATATGTTGTTTTTTGCGAATTAATTATTACATAGTAAGTCTGAAAATACAATCAAAAATGCTATTTGATAACTATTCGTAATTATTTATAAAGTGTGTTTGAGTTAACACTACCAGTAGCTGAGTAAAAACAGTACATGTATAATAGTATGGTATTTTAATAATTACCCAAAATAATCGGAAAGGTACGAAGTAATATGTTTTAATTATGAACTAAAGATAGTAAAGTAATACTCAGTAGTATCAGTATTTAATTTTGAACACTAAATAATCAATGTGTTTGCTTATTGAAGCAATCAAATTGTGGTGCAAACAGGATTTCGAAACGGACTTTATATCATTATTATTAATAGTCATAAGTCTTCTAAGTTCTTATTGATGCTAATAGTAATAGTAACTATTTAAACTATTGGTAGTGCCAGTTTACTGTTTAGTGAATTATATACTTGCCTACAGTTTACAAATTACAGTCTTAACAGCTAGTATATGTGTATTTTCTATGAAGTTACTTTATTAATGTTGGATTGGTTTTGTGATTTTCAAAATTTTTATTTGTAAATTGTAAACTATATCACTATTTCAGTATTTGGTTACTGACTAAATATATTAGTTTATTAATATTACAGCTTGATTCTTTTTTTATGAAATCTAGAATTGATATGCAACACATATAATGAGTTGTTTATAATTTTACCAGAACATCAGCTCTGTTATAAGAGTTATCACAAACTTCATGATGCTAGGAAGATGGACCTGAAAGATAATCCTTTTAGAATTAGATAGTTAACATCAAAGCTCATAAGTTGCTTATACTGTAGCATAGCAATGGGAAAGGTTGAAGAAGTGAAGAGTAGCACACTAATCTGACAGATGGAAGAGGTGGGGTTATCTAAGAATGTAGTTCATTCATTATGAGTTGGTAGTTTGTGATTTTTTTAACAGGCCCCTCATGAGCTAGTGGGGGACATTTTTGTTAGAAAAAAAAAGAACCCAATCCAGTTTTTCTTAAGTTGAACTTAAGTTTTTTGGACATTTTTATTGGCTAAAAAGAAGTCATTTCCTGCACTCTTTTAGCATTGGGGCTGCAAAAGGTGATTTGAAGTGGTAAGGTGACTGAAATCTGTCAGCTTAATGGCCAAGCATGGAAGTCTACAAATGACATGCAGAGGTATCCAGGAACCATTTAGAATCACCTTTGTAGATATTGTGCAGCAAGTCGAATACAATATTATGCCTGTTGCTACTTTCCAAGTGTTTCTATCTGCTCATCCAATATCTGACCATTGTGATACTTCAACCTTCCCTACCAATTTGCAGGTGAAATTGTTTGTATATCAATTGAAAGCTAAACATAAAAAGGTGATAACAGAAGCATAAAATGGCAACTGCTTAATTAATGATGCTGAGAATGTGGCTTTATTGATATATACTAAATTTTCTCCTAGTGGGTAGACCTTAGAACTAGCAAGTATGGAGACTCAAGGATGCTGTATTTCACTTTAAAACAAAGGAAAACTTGTCTTGAAGTTGTCTCAAAAAGATACATCCAAAACCACCCTCTTTGAGAGTTTCCAGATTGGACTTTCTTTTAATATTCAACAAATTGTAGTGTAAAGACACCCTTTGCTCCTGAGGGATGTGTTAAGTATATGTGGTAATGGTTAGGGAACTAGATTCAGTGATAAAGTTAAGAGGGTAAATAATGTGGTTAAAAATATCAGTAAGAAGACTATTTTTGTAGTATCTGTTGGAGTCTGATGATGTAATGCAGGGGAGCTATTTGAAAAGTGTAGGAAATTGCTAAAATCATGCAATTCTAGAAATCATAGGTTGATTTCACTGGGACTATTAGCAATTTTGGTGAGGAAACCGTAAGTTAGGACTAAATTATATGTTGAAATATGTATGTCATTTGGAGGAGGCCATTAGATAAATTCATGGGATCAATTTGTTGGAGAAATAATTCTGTGTAAAAGATGGTTGGGCTGAAGTTTTTTGTGAAAACTGCTAACCTAGTTATTCATGAATCTTTAAACTGTAATTAGAGAATGGTGTGAGAATAAATTCATATTTTAGAATATGATAGTAAATTTGTAGATGTATTTCTGTCCTAGAATTAAATACTCCTGAATAACTGTATTAGATCTTAGAATTTATGCAGCTAGTTTGAAAGTAATTAAAGTTTAATAATAATATTTTACCATTGTTGAACTAAGGCTTACTCATGGTAATTATAATGTATATTTTCTACAGTAGCTTATCAGTGTTTTTGCTCTTAATAGTTTAAATGTCATTTGATCTTTTACATCTCCTTGGGATTTACCTTGTGTGAAAACTGCTATAACTCACCTGCACCAAAAGTAAAGCTCCCTTATCTCCTGTCATGTGCATCCTAATGTCAAATTGTTTGATACCTATAACACTGTAATCTGGCCAAACAGTCTACACCATTTTATACTATTCAGTGACCTTGTTTATCCCATTTAGGTGTGTAATTCCCACTTGATCTTCATTTTGTATCTCTAAAGAGAATGCTCTGGTTTTCATTTTGGTTGTGTACATTAATGCTAAATGCGCAAAGTGACTGGATTGTGGGCTATGTTTCTTTGATATTTCGTGTATGACATAATAATCTGATTGTTTAAGACTTTGTTGATGTGGTTAGTTTGTAAATGTTCTTATTCTTTTTTTTGAGTTTTGTGTAACAGTAATGGAGTTAGTGTGGAACTTTTTTATTTCTTTAAAGAAAATTTTCAAGTTGCCTTGAAAATTTGAATGTTTTATCAATCTTCCTTCCTTTCATGTCTCTTTATGGATAGGAAAAGGATTTAAATGAGATTTTTTTCATCATACAAGTAGCAAAGCCATTGATTGTCGATGTTATGTACATGTATCTTAACTTTCACGAATATTAACTAGTATATTAGATGTAGATGGGTAAAAATATCTTAGTGTAAGAAACCAAAGAGAAGTAGTAAGTTGGTATTTTTTTTATAGAAAGAATGTGGTTAGTTCTCCAAGGGTATTAGGACCTTTATTGTTCAATATTTATATTAACAATTTCAATATCTTTTTGTATGTTAAGATTTCCAGATATGCTGATGTTACTGAAACTCTGGGAATAATTGAGTTTGCTCAAAAATAACTTTGGCAGTCTCAGTTGAATCAAAAACATTAAGATTACCTTCAACATTCAAATTTATCAAGTTGTGCAATTGGGGTATGAAAATTTGACAAGGATTTGCTTTCTTAATAAAGGAAGCAGTTGTGTTTTAGAAGAAATGGAAGAATTTGGATGTGATTGTTGGTAAAATCCTTAAGAAACTTGTGCTAAGTGGTTAGCTGTGTTGAAATGAGCAGAAAGAATCTTTGTTCTGTTTATGGGAGTTTTAAATTCTAAGAACAAATAGTTTGTTATAGATTTGTATAAGACTCAGCTATAGACTTATTTAGAGTACTGTGTACAAGATTGGTCTGTTTACAACAAGAAAAACATTTTGGAAAAAGTACAGAAAGAGACAACTAAAATGGTACCTAGCTTAGTTAAGTCAAGCTATGAGAGAGACTTAAATTTTGCTACCTGTACCCATATATAACTGAGTAGTTTATGGTATTTGTTAATCAATTAATCGACAGTCCCTTTAATAAATTACATTAAATCCATTGATTAGTAGTGTTCCTCAAACCATAGTATGTACAAGCAAAAGATAAAAGGTGGCAGCAGGTTTCTCTTGTCAGCGGATCAAGATTAGTGAGAATGAACGATTGCTTTATTAGCTTTGCCATAAGAAAGACAGGGCAAGGAAGTTTGGTGGCAGTATTTTGATTGGTTGGTTAGTTGGAATAATAGAAATATTAATAACTAGAAACTCAAATTTTGATTATTTAATTGTTATGATGACAATCACATTAATTAGAACTTTGATTAATTGAATGTTGGAATAATTGGAAGCACTAATTTTTTTTAATCATAATTTTGATTAATCTATCAGTTTACATAACACTAATTTGATGTAATGGTTGCTCATAGATAATTGAATAAATTGCCCAACTTTAAACTCACCAGCACTTAAGAATCTTAGTGAAACCCTGTATAAGACTCTTAAACCATTGTACTGTTTCTGGATATTGAGAAAATACTAATCACCAAATCAGAAGAGAAAGCAATAAAATTATGAACTTGGAAAAATCAGATATTCAACTTTTGATAAAAGAAACAATTAATAAACATCAATGAACATTTATGTAGTAAACTGTTGTTAATGGATAATGTTCAATAAAATGTTGTTTTTCATTGTTATCATCTTCAGTTGATGATTTTAGTGTGTAATAGCATGCTTTTTTTAGGTACAGGCCATGAGAAACAAAAGATAGATAGAAATAGAAACTACTAGGCCTAGTTAGTTTTTTCTCTATACAACCAAATAACCATTTGAATACATCAAACTCCCATTGTGAGAATCACATTTAAATTTTTGTCCTGTAACATCATGTGTGTTTGAACATATTATGTGAAGTAATTAAAGACTTGTTGAAAAGTATCTGTGAGATTAGCTTGTTTAACTCATTTATACAGCTGGTTCTGTAGGTTATATAGCTCCGTGATAGTCAACTCATGTTCTATTTCTTGATAATTGTAATTAATCCTTTTTTCATTTTGTTAGTCTATATTCAGACCTTTTTCACACCTTCTAAGCTACTATGAGTCTTTTAAAAAAATATTCATATATATATATATATATACATACATACACACACACACATATATATATATATATAAATCCTAGTGATACAGTCTATTAATGTTAAATATCACAAACAATACTTTATTTTTTTACATAATAACTTATAATGGGTATTATGCTAGTTGTTCTCCTCTGAACCATTTCCAACAATTCAATGTCCTTCCTAAGTTAAGGGTCTCAGCCCAATATTACGAATGTAGCCTAGCAGGTGACCTATACAATGAAATTATAACTTTTGTTAAGCTTTGTTTCACTATTTCTGAATATACAACCTAAAATCCTATTTGCTCTGCCACTACCAACAGCACACTGATTGGATGGTTTAGAGACTAATCAACCAGAGCACCAAGATATTTTTCTTTCATAACAGTGTTAAGGTTATGGCCATCAACATTATGCTTATAATTCAAATTATAATAACTTGCATGCATTAACTTTGCATAGAATGTAATTAAAAACCATTTGCTGTTTATTTGCCCAACTCTCCAAATAATTCAGATCTTTTTGTAAAGCAGCAGCAGCATCCTCACAGCCAGCAACATCCAAAATATATCATCAACAAATTTAAGTAATTTATTGACCATTCCTTCATTTATATTATTGATGTGGATCAAAAAGACCAAAGGTTCTAATATTGAGCCCTGAGATACACCATTTGTGACATTAATTCAGTTTGACTGAACTCCATTTATAACAAATTTCTACTTTCTTACATCTATCCAATGAGCCAACCTGTCCCCCACACCTAAAGAGATAAGTTTTAACAAGCCTTTTATGTGGCACCTTGTCAAATTCTTTCTAAAACTTCATATACACCAAATCCACATTTGTACCTTCATCTACATGAGCAGTAACCTCTTCAGAGAATGTCAAAAGATTAGTGAGGTAATATTTTCTCTAGTAAAACCATGTTGACCATCCAACAAAATTTTAAACTTTATTAAGTGACTTTAATAAAAACTCTTCACTCCACTGATGTAAGACTAATAGGGCTATAATTACTGGGACAGTTCTTATCACTTCCCTTGAAAGAGGAGTGATATTTACCAATTTCCAATCTTCTGGCACCTGCCCATTATTCAAGGATGTACAAAAAATAGTAGTAAGTGGCTCGTATATCCAATCCTTAACCTCCTTCCAAACTCTTGGGGAAATATTATCTGACCCAGGAGCTTTATCATTCTTTAAACTTCCCAATTTTTTTGTAACCAAACTCATAGTAATGTTATAATTTTGTTCGATCTTGTTTCCATTTAGCAACTGTTCAGGACTTACAGGATGTTTATAAAGAAAACTATTTACATCTTAAAACCCTCGTTCCTAGTGAAACTAAATTTCACCAAAAGCACAGTGAAAATTATAAGTATTTATCCGGAAAGTTTTGAAATGGTACAGGGAGTTGCAAAACCTGTTACAGATATTTTTAATTTTTAATTAAGCTTATCCGTAAATGAAGCTACTCCAAGCATTGTGTTGTGGACAGTGCTCATAGATTCTCGCAATATCCTGCACAGTGACATGCATTTTATTCATATCATAAATTTTGTATGTTTAAAAAGAAATAGAACCAATTTTAGTAAGGTAGAAAATTTATGGTGGTTTTGAAACACTGGTACCAGTCCAGCTATTTTGAATAAAACTTGTGAAAATTTTGTTCCTCTAGGACAAGTAGTTTTTTTAAGATGTAATCATTTAATATTTTATCATCACTCAAATGTGTTGTAACTACATGCAAGTGGAAACTGTATCAACAGAAAGTTTTTAAAGAACATTTAAATAGTGAATGTAAAACTATAGATATTAGTGAATGTTTTTAAATCGCGAAAAATTGCAATATAATGCTGATTTTTTTTTACTTGTTTTCAATAGAGAAGGATTTTAAATAATGTAAAATATATTTCAACACTATGAATAATATTACGTGAATTACACCTAGTCATTTGTTATGTTATACATCAAAAATGACAATTTGAATATAGTTCAAGATTACAACAAATGGTATGATTTTACTGGGAATATAACATTTTGATTTTACAATTGTATGATGAGGTCTAACAGAAATGTATTTTTTGATAGGACAATTTTTTGCTAATACTCATTTCTAAATATTTACTGATTTTTTTTTCTCAGGTTAAAAAAGAAACATGCATTCTAACCAGCAGAGACCATACCTCTCTCGCAGGCTTGGATTCCTCAGAACTGGTGTTACCCTTGGTCATCTCCGAATTTCAGGGTCACGTATCTATGTTATTGTTTTCTTGGGGATATTCACCTTCTTGATAGGAATTGTGACAACTGCCATTGCCTACTCAACTCCTTATCATAGAGGTGTCAGTCACTACTTGGGACCCATTCTTTTAGTAGGAGGGGGACTTCTCTTAGTCTTTGGTGTTTTTTTGTGTGCTTTTGCAGCTCGTTCTGCTCGAAACATATCAGTTGGGAGTGAACATGCAAGTGTTACTCATCCCATGATGCAGTCACCTGAACATATTCAGGCTGGAGGAGTATGTGTCGTACCTCAGTCTTATTACCCAGAATTGGAAGCATACCCCAACACAGATAGTCCTTACCAGCCAACAACAGAACCCCTCCCTCGACCTGTAGTCTACCATACAGAAGGACTCTCATCTAAAGATGAAAGCACATTACCACTAACAGCTCAACATCTCGATCAGTCTGCAGATGATAGTAGACAATACAGTACCAATTCTCCTCCACAACAAAACAAAAATCCTGATATGCACATTTAATTGAACTTTTAGTTTATGGTAGTCTTAATGCTTCTAAATGGATAGACAAAAGGAATTTTTATTGACTTGGGGCCTTATTGTCTTGATAATAAGCATATTGTATATATTAAGTTAAAGGATATTAGCAAGGGTGCATTCATCTGTAAAACATTTTATTTTTGAAATGTTTTTTTTTATGCATTATGTACAGAGTTAATGTAATAGTTTAACTTTTGAGAGTGAACACAACATTGTATGTGTGAGCCGGAGAAGTGTTTTTTTTTTTAAGATAAATTTACATCTATTTAATATTTCTGGTAAGAAGTTGTTATTTTGTCACATCATCATTTCTTATTACTGTTTATGCATGTCTGTTAATGTATCTGTCTTTTTATAACTTAAGCTTTAAATATGATAGGTTAGTTTTTCATGAATATCTTTCCTTCTGTTGTGTATTGAATAGTTTGTTGTTGTTTTTTCATTGAAAGTCAATCAAAATATTTGTATGCACACAGGGGCCCCACTTTTATGCTATAACAAATTTTCTGTCTTTTTCCAAGCAGCTTAATTTTGTGAAATAACTTCCAGTTACTGTGGGGTAGTCCCATAAATACAAAGAAATATTATTATAAAGCAAATTAAAAGTAGTCAAACTTAGTAGAATGAATACAACGTTTTGTAAAAAACTGAACACATTAACATAAAGTTAATATTACTTCTATCTGCTGTGCATAATATCTGGTAAAAAGTCAACCCACAATATGATTACAAGTAATAACAAAAAACAGGTTAAAAAAATGCTTTTCAGAACATTATGAGTTTCAAAATGTAAGTATACACAATTTACAATTTAAATTTTGTTTTTAAATTCTACTTCAGCAACAATAACTCATTATTCTATTAATCATCAATAACTATACTATGCAAATCAGAGAATGCTAGTGGCTATCTTTAGTATAAATTGTGAAAAGTTATTTTAGTCTTAAAAGTCAATACCATTACACTGTTTCTGTGTAAACATAGCTTGTTGAACCATTCCTTGTCATTGGCTCGGTGCTTAAAATATTTTAAAAGAAACTGATTGTCATGCATCTGTATTTCTCTTATAATTTTTACATCAAACACATCATAACATTTTGCTATTAATGATTTTTGGGAACCACTTAATAGTAACACTCCCCTTACATCCATCCATACACCTGCACTGAAGCTGAAGATAAAATAACAGTACCAATATGCTCAATCTGAGATTGCCTTGCCAGCTTTGATGTTTACACTACACTGAAATCAATATATAAGGCTCATTTTTAACTGGTTGATTCACTTACAGTCACCCAATCATGAAATATCTTGAAGCCAAAGATATCCAAACACCCCAGAAATGCACAAACTCCTTTAAAGTGTAATGGCAGATGATTGAAAATAATCAGCATAGGGATTGGCTTTCAAACTTCTATCATCTACTTTAAAGGTGTGAACTTTTTTGCCCATTTGTTTAGAATTACATAGAATAGACATTTTTCGTTCATCTGACATTATATTTATGTATGAAATCATTTAGATAGAGTCTAAGTTGACAGAGACAGATGTGATCCAATGAAAGTTGGCAGAGCAGATACAAGGCAAAATTCTCGAAATTGTTTACATCACTTAAGGATCAGCTGAGGAATCATCAAACAAATAGTACCTAAACTTCCAGAGTGCTAGACTGTTGCAAAATTCGCAGGCTGCATGACCTCAAGCAGGTCAGAATGATCTGGATCATCCTTTTTTTCTTCAGTTATTGTTTATATATCTTCCAGTTCACATTTTATCATTTTAACCCATCTTTATGGAACCTAGTCAACATTGTTACTGTCTTTTGCTACTGACTTTCTATTTAGTGTAGAAGGAAAGAAAGTATACATCCATTTTAAAACTACTTTCATCATAGATAGCCAGTTCCATCTTTCACCACTACTGTTGTGAAATAGAAGACAAAATAAATATGTTTTTAGAACAGATTAAAATATAATACAAACATGTATTTCAAGGGAACTATACAGAATGCATAGAAACACACTACTCGGTGCAACCACACGTACAGGGACATTTCTGAATTTATAGATAGTCTTGTACAACATGACTGATTGATTCAAATTATTGCTAACTGTAAGCATAACAATCATTACCATGCAATTCTTTATGGTTTACAGGGTAATATTCATTGGTTATTTGCTGCATGACATAAATCATATTTCATAAGCTACATCAACATTTTCATTCTGACATTAATTAATTAAATTTCATCATTTACATTTTGTATTCTTAATTAATGTTCGAGTTCTTCATTGAAACTAGGGATGTTCATTATAACTTTGGAGGTAAGGGGCATTAATCCCTTTAGCCTTATACACATTTAAAACAGCACTTAGGTAACAGCCAATATAGGTCTTCTTTTAATATATCTGTTAGAATTTTAAGGAAGTTTGATTTTGCTGTATAAGGCTACCATAACCACTGACATATATATATGTAGTAATGATGTTATATGGTAGACTGAGTTAGTAAAGTCATGCATGCTTTTATTGCATACATAGTGTGCCAACATTGGGATTTTCACAACAGTCTGATGTATAACAAGTTAAAAAGAAACATTCCAGGCAATTCATTGTAAAGTTCCATATTTCCCTGACACTGATTTAATTTTTTAACTTTTTTTCCTAAATAGAAAAAATCTTTAAAAATTTCTATTTTCCAATTGTTAGTGGGAACCTTGACTGATATGTAATGTTGAAGGTATTAACATAAATATGATGAAAGCCATTTTCATTAAATATTAGATTATGGTGAAATTAGTTATTTTTTGTTGTGCTGCAATGCCCTTGCACTGTTAGGTGAACTATATATATATATATATATATATATATATATATATGTGTATACTATAATAAAGTAAGTATTATTTATTTATTATTAGTAGTATTATATTAGTATACAATAGTTATTTAGTTTT